AAAGATGTTCTTTGATGCTATTTCACAAAAATCCATTATTGAAAATTTGAAATTTAGAGTAATACCAGACTAGTTCACTTCCCCATCTAATTTTGTTCAGTATTGATTGATGCTCCTCAAAAGTCCATCCAACCTTTTGTGTCTGGAGCATAACTTTTACCATAGTTAATCAAAGATCATGAAACTTGGTATATACATTGGTCAGACTAGGGTGATGTGTAGTGTACGAAGTCAGGGCCCTTGACACAGCAGTTACAGAGCTATATAGCCTTTTGTTAAAATGCTGTGCCCAGGCTACAATTTTAAATTGCTTGTTTTTAAAGGAGGATAATGAAAATTGGTGTATATATTGAATATCGAAGACAGTGAGCAAAATACCAATATAGGGCTGACAGCCCCTTAATTACGGAGGTATTTGTTAAAACTTTGTATCTGTAGCATAACATTGCTTTCATTTAAACTAAGGTGATGAAACTTGATGGATATATTGATCATACAAAGACAATGGGCAATGTACCAATGTTAGGACCCGCAACCTCTTAATTACAGAGTTATTGCCCTTCGTTAAAACTTTGTGTCTGTAGCCTCACTTTGCTTCAATTAAAGTAGAATAATGAAACTATGCAGCTGTATACATTGGTCATAAAAAACAAGAAAATACCAACATGTCAAGATAATCATAATTCTCAAATTTGATCAAATATGGGCAAAATATCAAGAAGGGATTTACACAAGAACACCTGAAAAAGTACAAGGAGACCAGGTTTTCAAGAAAAGTAAACTTATTCTGCTTCATCAACAACACCACAATGTAAATCTTTGTCAATTCAAGTAAGAAGTGTAATTTCTCAAATAAGAACAAGGTACTCAATCACGGAATCAACAAGCAATAGCTTCATGTCGAACCAAGAAATAGAATATTTCTCAAATGAAATCACAATGACTGTAAAACTACCACGTAATGTACAGTGTACCAAATTCAGTGCCCGAAACTGTTTAATTACAGAATTATTGACCTTTGTTAAAATTTTGTATCAAATTAAGTTGTTTTCAGGAAGAATTTGTCAGTTTCACTGATACCGTTGTCCTCAGAGGTTTAACACTGTTTGGTCCTGGCGTCATTTATGCATCCTTAACATCAAAACAGTTGTATGATACAATTGAATTGTTTGGCTATGCTGGAAGTTTTCCAAATATGTAATGAAAAGTACAATTCACCTGTGTTTACCTAGACAGTCTTTCAAAATCAGTTTTAAAATCCTGTTACTCCTGAATCTGTAGCATGGTGGGGTGAAGGGCTACCAAGTTTGTGTAAATGAATGACCTTGAACTATTTTCCAAGTCAAAAATTTAAAACAACACCTTTTGGATGAAGAGGCTCGCAGTTTTTAAAATTTTGATTGTCACATCTATAAAGTGGTATTTGGGATAGAAGTGAAAGCTACCAGTATAATTTTTTCCAAAAATGTCTCGTCTTCAATGGAGGACTCTTGATTGCCTGTAAAAGAGAAGTGTTGTGAGGATAGATATGTGTTACAGTTGAGCGCTTAAAAATACTCTGTTACTGGTAAAGGGATTATACTCAGATTTGGTCTGCAACATAAGTGGGACTTTAAATGAAAGATGTGACCTCACTGGAGACAAAGGGGTGGTGGAAAGAAATGTTATGTATTTTAAAATGAAATATAAATAATTTTAACTGCATTCATGAATGGTTTCTGTATAAACAGAAGGTATTGTTACCAAACAAAAAAAGAAAAATAGAAAGCAAAACCAGAGACTTGTTCTGTACAACTAGATCATATGGCAACATTTCATTTCATTGTCATTTCATCTTTAAAAGACTTGGCAGCAAGCTTTTGAAGTTGGCAGTAGCTAGGCCCCATGTTGGGACATATCAGACACTTCACTGATTCCATAATCCTTTGGATGTATTCTCAACTTAAAGAATGTGATTTTCATTTACATTGAAAGTTGACTATACTTTTAGCAGATTTCATTATAACAACTATCTTGAGTACAATCCTGTCTCAATTCACTTAGGTTTTGTTATAGATTATGTATAGGGTGCAGTACACGTTGAAATTAGGTGGTGGTCATCTGAAATTAACACTTCATTCTGCCACAAGGTGTCTTTCCAAACTTGTTTGAAAATAAGACTAATATTACAGTGTTTTGCGGCCATAGAAATAGGCAGTGCCTGAAAGGCATAGCCTAAATAAATTCAGAAAGAAAGAATACAACTTCTACTTAAGTACATTAACCAAATTATGACAGAGGGGAAATAACCAGGATACCATTCCAGTACGGCAATCAAGTACAAATGTACTTAATGAGGGTCTGTCCCTCTCAGCAGCTTTGCTACCTCTCAAAGTGACTTGACATGAAGCCAGTTGATGGCAGACCTATCTTTACATAACTGTCTGAAACTTACATTTCTGCATTTTGAGTACATAAATATCTCATTTTATGAGTTTCCAGTGAATGAGTGTTGCAACTTCATAAATATAACTAGTAATATTTCCACTGCTAATGGCTATAACTACACCACCCAGAACATTACACATGACTACATATGAGATAAAAAACAACATATTTTGTTTTACTAATATATGAATTTATTCCTTAAAATTGAAGCATATTTATTCATAAAATCAACATAATTAGTCAAATTTATGTATATACATTACTATATTTCCTTATATCCAATGATCTTTCAGTCTACAAATCAATGTTATTGTATGTATATTTGTCATAGAATTTTGAGAAAGGATGCAGTACTGTATAACAAATGAAAAATGCAGATTTTTTCCTACAATGACAATAACTGCTGGCATTTAAATGCTCTAGCTTAGGCAGTTGAAGCTGTTCAAAGCTATGCCTTACAAATGCACTTTGACCAAATACTTGAAAGTTGGGGTTTTGGAAACTGGTCAACAAAACATCATCTTTCCTTCTCTCTCTGTGTACAAATTCCAACAGATATATATAATTAAAACTGGCTGATGTAAAAGCACTGAAAGCTAAAAATCATAAATCATTTTGGTCAGGTAACTAGACCTAGATATAATAACACAGTGAAACTATTCAGAAGTTAACCTTAGTACCAATTAGCTGTCGTTCCTATTGTGTTTGAAATGGATGAAAAAAATAGGTCCAGAATAAATGATGTCTTACGTTAATGACAAGGTGTAATATTTCCACAGTCTACTAAATCAGACTTCTTCTCCGTAGTGTAAGAGATTGTGATCTTTCATGATTCTTGTACTTTGTACTTTATAACTTTACTTTCTCAGTTATTTTTCTAATTAAAGATACATGTTTTTTCAATACCTTAAATCACTTGCATTCATCCTCAATCTTCACATTCAGTAAATATCCAGGTTTAGAAATGCTTTCATTGTGCTTTCTCTGTCATCCTGCACCATTTGGTTATTGTAGAATGACTGTTGATGATCACCAAACCTGTCAGACATTTCAATTTCTTAACCATTTTTATGTTTTCATTTTAAAGACCAATGATGATTACTCTTAAGTTAAAAAAACAGAAAATGTCAAGACATAACTGAAACTGTTAATTTAAAACTCTTGGGATTCAAAATAGACGTTCTTGTATGAAGTACTGAATTGATCAAGGTCTTCCTCACTGAACAAGAGGCAGGAGCCAGGATATATAAGCATGTTCTGTCTAATCAGACAAAACAATTTAGTTGTATATCAATATCATTTGATGCAAATAAACACAGAACCAAATTTCTATTGAGAGAATTAATGAAAAATAAGGAAAAAAGTGTAGAAAATAGGAAGGAAGTAAGAAAAATTAAGTACTGACAGAGAGACTGTCTTAAAGGAGAGAAGAGAATAAAGAGATTACATGACAAGGTATAGGTTAAGTAACAATACAAACATCAATGCTATGATTTTCAGTCCTCAGCTAAATAAAAAAGCAATAATTCATACACAAATGATGACACTGTATAAATATAAGAAATTATTATCACTATCAATAGTAATGTGTCCCTGATCTAAAAAGAAAAGTTAATCTCACTTAATATTATCGCTATCATCTAAAAAAAATATTTTTATCAACTTTGTTTTTCACAACTATATTATCTGTTTACAATATCAAGTAACTTACTTTCTTTGCATTAAGAAAATGATTGAGAAGTTTTAAACATACTCATTATAAATATATCAAACGATAATTACAAATGGCTGCCTTTCTAATTTCAACTATAAAATCATGAAACAATATACAAAGTCACATACATTTAGATGTCCCATTTTCAGACCAGCACACACACAAAGTTCATCCTTTCCTTGCACAAAGACCATTTAGAAATGGTTAGTCATTGTCACAGTTCATGAACTGAAACTCTCCATGGTATCAAAAACACTTAACCACTCTATCTATTCTAGTTTTTCACATGAAGTGTTTACAAATTTAAACGACAGCCTTTAAATAAACATAATCTATTTGATGGAAGCGAATTAGAGGCCCAAAATATGAACATAGGTCAATTGATTTCATATAATTTTCAATTTTTTTTTAGCAAGGAATACCACACGAACATCATATTAAGCTTTTTTTGTTTTTCTAGCCATGACTTAAGTGTCTAACATTCAATGCTGACATTCTTGTAAAGCTCTTTATAACCATACTATTTATACAGAGTACTTATCCTAGATATAAAGTTATGTACAATATAACATTTGAATTGTATTTTCATTCATGTAAGTTTATTGACAGTTAAAATATATATATTAAAACAGGGAATACAATAAACTATTTCTCCTACCTACTCAAAAAATTAAGGTAAGGTCAGGTTCAACACAAGTTGCATAAACAATGGCCACATGATCATGGCATTTCACTCCTTAGACATTACAATGAGATTCAGAAAGAAATGCAGTGTTCATAATGACAGTTTTACACTTCATGACAATGAGGCATCTAGATAGACCAGAAGCCACATGAAATGATTAGAACATCTCCTGGAAGTTGTTGGGGCAAATTTATATTGGAGAAAAAGAAATCACTGATGTAGAGTTAATAATCAAACTAGCGTGGCATCAAGATAGATCATGTTATGGTTTCTCCTTTATCATTAAGAATCAAATTAAAAATCCTTACAAGACAAGTCATTAAAACAGTACTCTCTGTAAACACCCTTGACAGTGAAAATTATAACAAGGATATATAAAACAAAGCACTCTAACTCCTCTTTCACCTCTTACTGTCATACTCTCATGTCCCTTGCTCTCCTCTCAAGCTTCCTTGCTTTTTCTGTCTATCATTTTCATTTTGCTTTCTTCTGGGCAGTACCAATATTGCACTGATTCACCTTTAAAATGAAAAAAAAGTAGCATTATTGACAGAGGAGCTATATATCAATACAGCATCATTGGGTCAATGTGTTTTGCAGTGAATTTTCTTAAAGCATTAATGAAATCAGAAATGAAAAAATCTATATGATTAGCTTCTACTTTCTGAAAATACCTGTAAAGGTTTCATACAAAAAATTCCATAAAATTGTGTCTGATCATCTCCATTGTAAATCTGTTATAAGAAGCAAATTCTGTACTGAAAAGAAACAGTTTTAAACTTTTAACATTATAAAGATATTGCTTATTGAAGTGCTTATAAATTTAAAATAGAACTGAAAATTACTCGAGATGTTTCAGTATTTAACCTGAAGCAAGCCCTGGGTGCTGACACATTACTTGTGTCTCAAATTCAGAAAAAGGGCTTATTATAGGATAATAATGCTGCATTTGTTGACATTGTTACTGAAAACAACACACGCGGGTGGGATTATTACCAGAAATTGGCTATTGTAAATAAAAGCAGTATTGAACATTCTTCTTCATTTTTTTTTTTATTATAGCCAGTTCAAAGTCTCTGATTTTGTCCTGATTTGAGTTGGATACCCTGTGGTCTAACTACATACATGCATGTTAAATCTGGCTATTACTTAAGCTTTTTGAGAAATGAGCTTAACAGAACTTTTTATTGCTGATAAAGTAACAAAGCTCCACATAAAATGAGAAATACACTTTAGAAATACTAAGCACTACGTCATAAAACTGCTAAGAGTGAATCCAACACCAGAGGTCCTTCTGTTTATGCGAATTTAATGGCAGCATCATTAAACTTGGATAAAAAGAACCTCCAGTCTTGGACTCACCTATCAGCCTTATTCAGTTATAGATAATATAATTTTGGGAACAATTTCCAAACCCACTGTGCCAATATCATGTACCCATCAAACTTGAAGATATAACTTTTTGAAAGCAAACAGTCACCAAAATTATTTACCTTGGTTGCAAAGCGCAATGAGTTGAGAGTTTCTGGGAAGCACTCTGCCTTCGGGGAGGCATTGACAAACATAAGGGTTTTGCTGTTACCACCCAAGGAGTTCTGAAGGAGGTAGGTCAGTTTGGAGTTGCGATAAGGAACATGGTTATCCTGAAACATAAATATATGTCTGAACATAAATGTAACTGTCACACTGGATTCCTCTAAAATGACAAAGCATCACATATAGTACTATGGTTATACCCTTGTGATTGGATGTGATTAGAAATAATCTATTTAAAGTGATCTGTAGCTCTTCTGGAGGTCAAATCCAATCTGTGGTGCCTGTGGACATGCATATGAATTTTCATGACAGTTTGGGAAGGTGACCACATTAAGTAAAAGTATATTAAAGGTCATTTCACTTGTTCTTTGCCTAGACACTAAAATGGACAATTTCAATTTCAACTGTCCTAAAGTTTATTGAGGAAGAAAGTTTCAATTATTTGGTCTAGTAGTTGTAAATTTAATGTAAATAAGTTTATCAAATTAGAAAGAATTAAAGCGACTATAATGTTAAAAAAACACTATGAGAAAACGATATAGAAACATTCTATATTCCAATAGTATGTTACAAAACTAAGACTTTCTGTTAATTAATAAAATTAAAAAGTCACTGCAACCATTTTTTTTATATCTAAAAAATAAAGAATGTAAACAGTGCGGTTTTCATCTAATTCATACATTACTGCTTGTAACCCTGATGCTGTGCATGCATATAAGCCTAGAAAGAAGTAATATGGCAGATGCAAATAAGAAAAGGTGACATGGACCAAAAAGTTACCTTACAGAAAGTGACAGAAGGCATAAAAGGAAGGATTCAGACCACAAAAGAGGACAGACAAGAATTTATATTAGACAGGAGATTGATAGATGACAAAAGATGAAGGAGGATCTTGGACCGAAAATATGTACAAAAACTACAAATTTGACGTTATAGGCGCGTATATCGGGGTATCGCTTTATTATGGATATATTTTATTATTCATAAACCGAATTCTCCATTTTGATGTTGAAATCTAAGGTAACAGCCGCTTCAAGGAAACATGACTAAGATATGAAAATTTCTTTCTCCTGTTGCCGTTAATATCAAGAAATTTTTTAAATCAGTCATTTTTTCTCCTTGTGTATGTTTGTTAACGCTCTTTATACCTCCTGACCTTACCTTATTGCCAAGGGCCATGATAACATTTCCTAATGTACTCAAACTCTTGTTGATACTCAGAGTCTCCTTCAGTCGCTGACCTTCTGACCCGGAGTCCTTTAGTCTCTCACTCCCAGCAAGATCAACTAAATTGAGAGTTCCTGTAAAGGAATGCAGTGTAGCAAGTTAACCGTTGTGTCTATTTATTTGGAGTTTTCACAAAGCTTGACAGCAACAGTAACAAGTAAATACATATCATTGCCAAATGTAATTAAAAAACAATATTGAACAAAGACATTCAATTGTCCTCCAGGAATAGTGATGAATTCAATATTTATAAATGACAATATTATTTACACTACTCACCAACACAAGCTTCTCCACTAAGTGAATTTTCCCCAGTCAGTTTCAGCCGTAACACACTGTGACTCCGGGATGAGTGCTCATTACATTTGGTCTCTGCCACTGCCCTGTTGTGTGATGCTTTCTTCAACAAAGTGGTGATCTGTGGAGAAACACTTATAGATCAATCCTTGGTCTACAATCTAAAAAGGTAGTGAAAAGTAACATTATTCTTGCATACTTCACCAGGTAAACTCATTTCTGCTGTGGAAAGGATAACCATGATTAAGAGCTTGGGTTGAGATATCCTTGTCTAAAGAGCAGAGAGAGATAATGACCATGGCTTTGAACCTGAATACAATTTCACGAACAATTACAAAAACATAAATAACATGACACCACAATATTAAATAAGATTTGTTTCCAAATTAGATGTTATATACACGTATCAACATAGATTACAGTACATTAGCAACATATATCTAAAATAGACATGAGAAAGACAACATACTGATTTTTGTTGTTTCTGATAACTGATGAAAAGTACACTTCACTTATTCTGATTCATATTCTAATATCATTATGTGATTTATTATTGTTGACATTAAAAGTCATCATAACTAAGTCATGTGTTGTATACAGAAGGTTCTCCAACTAAGGTTTTTCTTTTTCACAATTGTGCACTCAAATATGAATCAGATAAACATTAATGTATGATTGAAACTTGATGTGTTTAGAGCAACATGAATGCCCCATCAACAACCAAGGAGAAGTCTGGAACCTTTCAATGTTACTGGTTTTGAAAAGTGTATTCATGACTCATGATAGAGAACTGAGGTCCTTTCTGCATATTTTGTTTCTAAATTTCTACCGGACTTTGGCAAGGCTTTCAAATTCAGTCTTTTTGTTTATGTGAAAATTCTAGTCGAAATCTTTAAAAGTCAAATGACCATAACTATGAAAAACAAATTAATTGTCCATAACCAAATCAAAACATGACCTGCATATTATCACTATACAACTTCATACCAAATTAAAAGTCTATATCTGTTAAAGAGAAAATGAGCAGAAATGAATTATAATTATACAGCCAAGGTGACACTTTATGTCCTGACCATGAAATGGTGGAGGTGTAAATATACATCTGTAAATCTATTCACTGCAGAGTGTATATAACACTCTAACTCACTCTAACTGGTATTTACAACCTGTATTTTCCTTTTTGAATCTCTGCATCAAAACTGTTCCAAACATCAGATCTGAATTTTGTTATTGTATTCTCACTCTCAGTAAGCTGAAATGGTTTATAATAAGATTTGTATGAAAAGAACCAGACAATAGTACCTGTGTGTCTGTTTCCACAGTGACAAAAGTGAGATTTGTCACAGTGACATCATTACTGCTTGACCCAGTCAACTTGATATCATGTTTGACATCATCTTTGCCATTTCCAAGCAGATCTCGGATGGTTTCATTGTAAATTTCCAGGAAAGAAGCCTCCATACTATACTGTAACAAACCAATACATCATCCCAGATTTAATGGATAGTAAATCTAGCTAAAAGAAAATGTGATTTTGTGTCATACATTGTGTACATATACATAGCAGTATACAGTATTTGATATTTACGAGTCTCTTGATAAAAAAACTTGCTCAAAAACTTCAAACATTTTAATGTGGGGTTCCTAAGTGACTGCATCAGCCAACAACCTTTTCCCCTCCCCCGCATTGAAAAGGTGATTTAAAAGCAACATTAAATGTGCAGAGGTCCCAATTTACATTGCCAATCAACTTTTCAAACTGATTCATTTAAATTACAGATTTATAGGAAGCAATTCATTAAACAAAATGAAGATGAATTGACTTAGTTCTAATACATGAATTTTGGTGATTTAAGTGGAAGAGTACCTTCCATCCTTTTGACTCCAGCTCCTTGATGCTCTCAAAGATCTGAATGACAGACCTTGGGATCATGCCCTGGCTCTCTGGGTCATCCACTGATCCACCTTCCATTGTGTAAGTTTTTCCAGAGCCTGTCTGTCCGTAGGCAAATATACACACATTGTATCCATCAAGTGCACTCTGTGAATAGAAAACAATACATGCAATGCAATGTACAAAAAAATGCAAACCAGATGATCCGAGATTTATGATAAAAACAATGGCTATTGGTAACTTATCCCTAAACTGGTTTGAGGTTGATGCTCTTTTGGGAAACTGGTCTGGTTTACATCAGGAAATCAAACCAAATCACTGAAATCAGGACCAATATGTATGGAAGCTCACCATATCTTGCTTGTTGAAAGTGAAAGGGGCTAACACCTTATCTCTGACAAAATGAAAATTCTATTTAACATCAAGACATATGAGTGGGTTTACTGAATGATAAATACAGTATCAGGTATCATAAAATAAAACCAGAATAATTCATAATTGTTTCTATCTTTATTACCAATTGAAACAATAATTATCTGTGCTTACTTCAGCTTATGATAGTATATCCATACACGGATAGTTTACTAAGAAATGTTGTAGGATTTACATAGAGGTTACACAACAAATAGTTGTTTTATATGGTGTTTCTTTCCATACATGTCTTTTCTGAATGATATCAGTAAAGACGTCATTATACGACCTATAGTGAAATGTCACTGATCATTATGTAAACTGACAAAACTCAAATTACAAAAACAATCATGACCTAATTGATACATGTTTAAATTTCTGTTGATATGCAAAGAACTCTTCGAGTAAAACTTCCTGTGTCAGGCAGACGTACCTGTATTAATTGTGAAATTTCCTCAAACACCTCAGATTGTGAAGCAGAAGGCTGGAAAACTCTGTCAAATGAAAACTCAAATTTGTTTCCACGTCGACTTGCTGTCAGACAGCTCTGAAAATCAATAATGACATAGTGACAAAATAAGGTTAACACTGATAGCAATCAGTTGATCATCTTTAAAATTGTTAAAGATCATTACACCTAGTCAATGGGTTTTCTTCTGTTTCTTTTACTTTTTATCAACAAACAAATAACCATCAATTATCATTCATGAAATAACGATAGATACTTTGATTGGTGTTTTGGAAGTGGACTCTGTATTCCATTAGGAATCCATCTTAGGAAGACTACCAACACATTTTAAAAATTATCCGACAGACGTTTCATCTCATTTTCTTTGTATTCATGACCTAAATAACCATGTACATGAAAACAAAGTATTTTACACTGACCTCATTCATAGACATGTCCCCAACTTTCTCCAGTTCAAGAACCTTCTGGTCCAAGTCAGGGAAGTTCATGTGTTGTACCTCGCCATTGTTACCAAGACATTCATCCCCAAGAAGTGGACGTACTCGACAAAAGACACGAATATTACCCTGTAAACAGAAAAGGGTTTCTTTAGATAGAGACCTGTTAAATTTTTACTTTCAGATGATTGACATGATGATATATCAACCATTTCACTTGTAAAAGTGACTCTACCTAACAATTTTATCATTCACTGGACAGTTAGGCAATGCAGGGTTATATAACAAGAGAATATCCCATTTTAAGATTTGCCTCCAAATCCCCAAGGAGTTCCGAAAGCCAGACCCACAGCTTATTTGATTCGCTCCCCAAAAAGATGATAAAATATCTACATGCCAACAAAAGGATTTTAAAAATCCATTTTCGCTCATTCCAAATAAGGGCCAGACCCATCATTTACTGGCATACACTATTAAAAATTCCTTCATCAAAGAATTTGTCTACTGTGTTTATTAGGCTTATTTTGAAGCAGGAGGTTGCCAACCTGTGGTGATTGAAAAGTCTTTCCTGAGCACCAAATTTTAAAAATTAGATGTTCATTCACCTGACACCTATCATTCCTTCTTTGTAATCATAAGCCAAACAGTGTACTACTGCTGTTGCCTTCGTACGACTGTATCTGTATTTCTTTGCTAGAGCCGAATCCAGGAACATGCGCATAAACAATGGTCCAGCCAAAACAGCAATGGCTAAAGTAAGGTTGTTTTCAACTATAAACTTCATGAAAAGAACCTCTGCCTTGATCGTTGTGTGGTCAGATGTTTTGTTAAATGCGGAAGCAATTGTCAGCGTCTGAGTCATGTGCCTTTCGCTCTCTAAATGTTTTGATGTATCAACATGACGAATTATGTCACTTACACCTCCATGAGAAATCATGAAATTAGTACCACAAATTGTGCAGCATGCATGTCACGTTAGACGGATATTCGTTTTTAAAACTTTGTACATGCTATGCTTTCAATTTCTTGTTTGGCGTTCCAGTTGATGTGTCGTCCTTGTGTACGGCCATCTCGGCACATCTGTACACTTGTGTTCTTCCATATGGTAATCAATCATTTGATACCCCTCGTACTTTATCATTGTACTCTAGCATACAATCCAGGTGCACACAATACCAGAACTTGTGTTATGAGAATTTACACATGGTGTCATTGCAATTTCTATACAAGAAAAAAAAAAAAAGGACAGAGATTTTTTTTCGAAAAATGGAGAATTAAACATAAAATCAGAGGCATAGATTTTGACACTGAAAATGGAGAAACTCTGCTCAAATCAAAGTAGTGTTATCTCTTGACATGCAATGAGACTGGGAATCCAACATATTTTTCTTGAATTATGAGGAGTTTAATGAAATTTCCTAAAAATCAAGTAAAAAATTATTTTGGTTGTCAAGTTTCAAAATGAAGAAGAATGCATTTCAGGCAACATTGAATTCCAGAATTTCCAGGGGGAAGCCCCCATGGACCCCCATCAAAGAGATGGGTAAACCCTATTATTGTAGTTAGCTCTCAATTTTCTGAGTATTGAAATCATAAAATCAAGCCATTGCTCAAAACAGCACAACTGCATGCCATGGCAATGTTTAAAGCCTACCAATCTTCAGAGACCATTCAAGAACTGAACAAAAGTTCAAGACAGACAAAAAATTATGTAACCTCTTAAGTCTTTAACAATTTTATAACAAGTTTTATTACCTTAAGTTCCTGTATGGTGTTGTGGAGTTTACGCCGTGCTGTCTCATGCTCTCTGAACTTGGCGTTGAAGTCTTCAATGGTTTCTTCATGCGACCTCACAACTCCATTCAATCTGCATATATTATCATCCTTCTGTTGACCTGCTTTCATGGCCGCCTCCAACGAAATCTGTGAAAGGAAACATTCTATAAAACCCATTGTATCTATGAGGTCAAATCATTACTTAGGTATGGGTAATCAAGAGGATCAAGTATTATAATACTGTGTACACATATATAAAGAGCTGCTCTGCTTTCCTGGTTTGAGTAAAAGTAGCTGTGGAGAGAGCCATGAATGGAGATGGTGCTAACAGTTGACTTGTGGTTGGCATAAAGCACATACTATGTAGTTTTGTTGAAACAATTAGATCTGGTATATAACTTTGTTTGGAATAACACAAAAAACACCTGACAAGATCAGACAGGTTGATCTGTAATGGGATATAAATTGTAACACTTGATAGAATTTGACACATAGATTTTGTGAAAGGTTTAAACCTAAACTGTTACATGCAACAGCTACCTTGGTTGCCTCGAGTTCAGCAGACATGCCAGCCTGAGCAGATGTCATCTGTGCCACAGTTGTCTTGAGGCCACGGATCTCAGCATTAGCAGCAGCAACTTCACCATCTAGCTGAAGTTTCTGACGCTCCAAAGATTCCTTCAAGAAAGTCAGATCACTGATTTCCCCCAGAAATTTCCTTTTTACACTATCAAACTTTTCTTCCTTTTCTCTGAAACAGATCACAAAAATAATACCAAATTAGGAACACATTAATGCTAACTTACCAGATTTGTATCATTAACCAAGTTACAAGTAAATAATTATCCTGTTTAGCAGAATGACCCATCTTTTTTTTAAACTATCCTAAAATTTTTACATCCGAGTATATGCTTTACTGATTGTTTGATTAGAATGGCAAAGTTTAGTCAACAAACACAAGTTTCTAAACCATTGTGTGCACTATTCACATTACTGACTACTCCCAATAAAACTATACACCATAGTACAATGAATGGCCTATATTAGCCATTGTGAAAATTGAATCAGACCAGACACTGACTAGCACATTTAACAGACATTACCTTATTTGATTCTTGAGGATGGCAATTTCTTCTGAGACAGCTGAGGCCACCTGCTCTTTCTGTGCCACAGTACCAGAAAGATGGCTGTTTTGGTTCTCCAAGTTGAAGATAAGGTCTTTGTTGATCTTCAACTGCATCATCAGATCAGCGCTGGAAGTTTTTTGTTCTTTCAGGATTAATTCCATGTCCTGAATACGCCCTTTTAAGTCCCATGCTTGACGCTTCTTCGTCCCACCACCACTTTCTGATCATGAAACACACACAAAGAGCTATTTCAAAAACGAATGGATGTGGGGTGGGCAAGGCATCTTTAGCACCCATATTATCCCTGTAATACCATAACTAGGGAGAGGTGTGATAAGGAAAAGTTATGATAATTATTTCTTATGTGACTAATCTGGCCATTTTTTTTTTTAAATCTTGGCAGAATCTTACTTTAGCTTAAAACCTGGTAATTCTCGGACTCACTTCATAAGTCTTGTGTAATGAAATCTATATTTTCAGATCTCTTCTACAATAAGACTGTAAAAATATCTGTGTTTTGCTACCCTGACTGGCTCTTTTTTTTCAGCCTATATCTAAAAATTCTATCTCAATTCAGCCTTGAAACAAGAGATACCAAGGTAATCTTGGCATCCAACATTACTTGATCTTTATTTGTGCTTTAAAAGTTGGATATTTTATCAGTTACAAAATCAAAATAGCATAACCAGGGACCACTGGTATCGTAAATATAAAATCTGAGAAAAACCCAACCAATACTTCTTAAGAAATAACAAATTTTCATAGTCAAAACCCAAAATGGCCACCTGTCAGTCATTTTGTTATAGACATTAACAGGAAACTTATGAAATTTGAGAATGACCCATTGGTACTTTTCCAGAAATAGTGATAACAAATTATCGGGTATGTTAAAAAACAATTGTTTGTCTGTCAGCCATTTTGTTTTTTGATCAGTTCCAAAATGGAATATGCACAACTAGGGACTAAGGGGAACCTACAAATAAAATGATAGACTGATCTATCGAGTACTGTTCCAGACATGGTAATAACAGAAATTAAGCTCAATTATGATCTGAATAGTAACCTGAAGAGCCCAAAATCTGATGATGGAGGTCTAAAAAAATTTTCTTTTCTTCACTGACCCAACTTATATTATCTAGCAAGTGGCATTTTTTAAGAGCAGAAGATCTAAGTTCCTCTAAACCAGTGAACCCACAACATATTTTCTCTTTGTTGACCTGTTTATTACCTGAAGACTTCTGTGCCTGTTGACCAGAAGATCCTGTTGTTTTTCCTGTAGTTTTGCTAGTTGGACCAACACGAGATACCACTGTAGACCTTGTAACGCCTACAAAACAAACGTCAAAATGTTCAATTACAAAACTCCAAATTCACGGAATTTATTCTCTTTGCAAGAGTATTGTCATTACCTTTGTAACTTATTATGAGTAAAGGAAAAAGTGAAACATAGATACAAACATGAATGGCAACAAGCAAGCAAAATCTCAACAGAATTCACATTTTTTTCTTAACCAAATGAGAGCAGTAAGCCCATGCCTAATAATAATGAACAGCTTTTTAAGTAAAATTACAAACAAATGCTACATCATTACTCTGTAATGAGTCAATTTCTCTACAAAGGGTAACAATTTATATTTTGGTCCCATGGACTATATACAGATTATACAAGATAATATGATAAGAAGACCTCATGTAACTTTTCCCCCCATAGATTGAGGAAAACATATATTTGTATATACTAAAGAGTAAATGATTGATAATGAAACAATAATGGAATGACGACAAAGACTAACACTATAGACACTAACCATGAAATAGCCTTGACAGTATGCTAACAATAATTAATCCATAAAAACTTTTTCCTAATGGAGAATTTGCTGCATACTCACTAGGTTTGACAGCTGGCTTTACTGCAACAGAATTAGACCTGGTCACACCAGTTCTGGCAGGGACACTTTTGGTTGTGGATGGAGGTTTTGCTGTTACAGGTTTAGGTCTATTAAAGACATTATTATTTGCACGTAAATTTGATCCAGATGTTTGAGAGCGGAGTTTTGATCCAGATGTTTGAGAACGGAGGTTTGATCCAGATGTTTGAGAACGGAGGCTTGATCCAGATGTTTGGGAGTTGAGACTTGCAGAACTATCAGTGCTGGAGTTAGAACCTGTTGAGAATCGACTTTCCAAACACATCCTCTTTTCTGATGGCAACTTAGAAGAAAAGAAAGAAAAGACAATTTGACAAATTATCAATCTGTAACAATATCTGTATATTTTTATAACATATCTGTTGTATGATCTCTATGGTTTTCTTCTACTCTCACGAATTTAATAAGAATTGTCTGAATGGTTGTTTCCATAATGTTTCTAACTTCTTTGGACTCAAGAATGATGCTGATGTTTTTTGGCTTTATGTTTCACATTAACTAACCTCATCTGGGCTTCTTGTTCTCTTCATTGGTACAGGCATTTTTGTAGAACTCTTGGGTACTGGTAATCGTGGCAGTCTACTACTTGTACCATTTAGAGTAGCTAATGGCCTCTTCAGCTAAAATCAAACAGATGGACAGCATAATTAGAAGGTATAACACCTGAAATGAGCCAATCAAAGAATTGCCACTCAGATAAGACCATAGGATATTGATGTTTGTGATGTATTCTGACATGTTGTTATTCAAGGGACTTTCTCTATTCATCTGTTACACCCAATGTACACTAAACATGCGACCTTCAATTGAAGTTCTTTTTCTTTTTTTTTGGAAGGGGTTGGGTGGGGAGTTGTGTGTGTTTAGAGATCATTAAATAATAATTCAGTACTTACATTTCACATCACTCATGATTTTAAAGGGTTTTGACCACATTTGAGTTTTTTTGTTGAATTCTGTTATATTTTTATTAAAGTAGCACTACCATCTATATTGCTTCACTCAAATACATCAAGATACCTGTTTTAGGCACCGGAAAGTACTTGTTACACATGAGTGATGAATTTAATGAGTTGACCTGCCACATGGTACATGTGACATCAAAGCGTTACTTCAAATGACCATGTCTAAGACGAGAGCAGTAGCAGTGAAGACAGAAACTTCTCATATGATCCTGGTTTTTCGCAATATCCTTGATTGAAGTGATATGTTTTACCTTAGAACACTGTAAATCATTATACGAAAACTTGAGTAAAACAAACTGTTTAAATGAAATCATATTAGTGGAGAATCCACATTGAAGGATAGTGAGTCAGTGATATTCAATTATACATGTATGGACATTTCCAAGTATGCTATTGTGGTAAGAACTGTTATTGTTATGAAAGATATAAAATTTCATAAAATATGGTTATACAAGCATTCCAAGATTTTTCATGATTTTGGCATGTCAGTGTCAGAGGCAAAATGCATACTGTAACAGAGGTATTTATGGATGACATGTACTCAGATTCATACAATCATATATGTGTATGTGTGTCAACAATTGTAACATTAACAAGATTATGCGGATATCCAGGACTAATTAATGATAAATGATTTGAAGGATTCGGAGTGTTGATATTCCTTTACTTTTCAATATGAATGACTATATCATGTACTTGCTTTGGCTGGCCATATGCGGTATAGAAATGTTACAATAACATTTGCATTTACAAGTCCAGATGTGTACATGTGCATAAACTTTTTCAGAGCAGAAGAAAGAATTTTAAATAATCATTTACAATTATGAAATTATGTGTGTTAAATACATCATTTACAATTATGAAATTATTTCCAAGACTGAGCAAAATTTATGATTTATATATTCTGAAAGTATTAAGAAACACAACTTCTTTAATTGTAAAATTTTTTGAATCAAATATACCTATCCATATCCGCATCAAGAGAGGAATATTAGGGCACCTTACATATTCCCTAATAATTGTTAACATTTGTCATCCATGACAAAAAACTTATCCTCATCTGGTGCACCTAAATAAACAATATAACAAGACTGTACAAATGACTTTTCAATTAAAACTAGATTAAATTTCTGACCAAGATGTGTGATTGCCAATACAATATTAGTACATTTGAAATCAATACTTGTTTAAACAAATATTCCACGGCTATCTCAGCTTGATAAAAGCTCTCAAAAATTCTCATGGGAGTTAGCACTCAACAGCAGGATGCTAATCACTTTTGAGTCAAACGAATTAATGACAGACCAGAGATCCAGCCATCCACATGTAATTTTGTGATGTCAAGATCATTTCATTAGGCTTGCCCACTTGTATGACAAGGGATGAGCTACCTCCAAAAATAGCACAAAAAATACCAATGGTAATGGAAACTCAACTGCACACAAAAACTGTTAAAGGGAGATTTACTCCCACATCCCTGGTATGGTGGCTTGCCTCTAACACAATGCTGAACATGTATGCAATGATTGACAGTACATGTGCCAAGATGTTTCCTTACGAGACAGAGGTCTATGCTTTTCACAGATGAATTTTGATTAAATTTATTTTGATCAGATGGACATCAATGTGTGTACCGTTGTCAAGGAGAGCTGCTTGCAAACGCTTGTGTTTTGCAGCATGACAGATTGGCTATGGTTTGGAATTTCCCATAGTTTAAAGGTACCTTTAGTGATCATTAGAGGGATTTCAATGGCTGTATGTCATCAAGATGAGATCCGGAGGCAACATGTTGACCTTTCAGCATGACAATGACAGGCCACATGTTGCAAGACTTTCTAGGGACTTTCTTGTAATCCAGAAACATTGTCCCTATTGGTTGGTATCCATAAAGCCCTGATTTGTACCCAATTGAACACTTGTGGGATAAATAAGACAGAAGAGTTTGGAAGCGAGCAAACATCCCAAATAACCTCCACCAATTTGCCAATGTGCTTACCATGGAATGGAATAACATTCCTCCACAGATTGCTGTTTGAGAAGACACACAAGATATGAGGGATTGGTCTGACAACTGCCATTATTTTCCCTTAGAGTACCCTAATTCATGGTTGCCTTGTTTGTTAAAATCTCAGAAAACTTGAAGCCAGATGGTCCAATATTCTAAGTTAACTACTGCATTTCACATTGAAGCACATTGTTCATAAATATCATTTTATTGAACTGTAAAGTTGGTGTTGTGTTTCTTTTTCACCTTTGTATATGTATAATGTATAGATGCACACAGTTTGGGTGTGTGTGCACAGATGGAGCAAGCTGTTGTACATCAGAACAGTGGTTTCCAAACAAGTCCAATAAAACGGGTCCATAAAAGAAATAAACTACCGTTTAAATAGAGTACTACTGAAGTAACACATTGACACCAGGTGACCTCGTTTTACATTCAAAATATTCATATGTGTTTCGACTAAGCTGAAATGGATATGGTTAGCTTTCGTGTTTCGTCCGTGTGCGAGAAACAAGTTACTTATATCAATTTCAAGTAAACTCCACTTTATATTTGTAAATAGACAAGATATTCTATGAAAATAATCTTAAGGAAAAACATGGTCAATAATGAGACAACCTAATGCCATGGCTAGTCAACTGTGGCCAGTTCAAAGACATATTTGAGAGGCTATGTTTCTAGTTTGAGTTATTCTGACATTCTATTCAATTTGTTTTAATGTATTGGTTTTGCATCAATGAATAACTCCAAACCAATATAAAAAAGGCGATTGAATATTAGAATATTTCAGAGTTCCATGATCACTACAGAATCATTGATCTTTTTGTTTCTAATTCATATATGAAACATTTGATAAATCTGTAATCATTAGGGGGGCAGGGGGCTTGTTAGTATACTATAAATACACAAGCAAATAACTGTCACGGTATAATCTTTTCAGATATATATTTTTTTACAGATTTGATAAAAAGAAATCAAAGAAGCGAGTGAAAGATGTTTATGTCGTTTTGTTGGTCACTTAAAAATTGCTTATGTACTGAAAATTAATAAAAAGAAGAAAAAATAAAAACAAACACCTGAACATGTTACTGTAATAGTCTAACATAATTGTTGAAGCATGTCAACAATTTTTACATAAACTATTTCCAATTATTATCTCGGTGAAGAATTACAAAGATATAGAAATCTTCACTCTCTTTTAGGAGTTGAAATATACTACCTGGCTCATTATCGTCGATACTGTAGCTGAAATAAGAAATTCGTCGAAGTATTCTTTCCTTTCAAAAACTGTGCCAAAAACAGACGTATGATTTGATTGGACAATGGTTTGAATAAAACCTTTCATTTGATTGGACATTAAAGTACGACGCGGATTATTTTCTACTTCCGCTTTTCGGATCGGAAGAAAAGAGGTAAATATTAAATGGTTCTCCGATTAAGATCAGTTCGTTGTTACATGCTACAGTTCAAATCAAATCAAATATACCGAAATTTAGTTAAGTCTTAATAAAATGTATATGTGTTTTGAGAAAAAAATAGGTTAGAAAGTATTCTAAAAAGTTGCCAACGGGAACTCTTCTGCTTATGAAGATAAAAAGATACTTGATTCAGGCCGGGGACCCGAGTTGAAAAATATAACATTCATTTGTGTATTATTACTAATCTTTCGCCGAAATTAATATATATTTCAAATGATTCGTCCTTAAATATGTGAAAGGTTGACATGAATGCCTGTTTTTCTCAATGAATGTTTCAGACGAAGAAAAACTGAGTGATAACTTTCCATTCAATTGATAACGTCTGGTGAACGATATCGTTTTATTTGAATAATTATGGAAAGAAACGATAGCTCAAGTGCGATGTCCTCGTTGGCTATGTATGGTGGGGCTGACGAAGAAATTTCTGATGACGAACAACAGAAACTTGATTCTCCTTCAATATCTGCAATTGATAATATTTCGGATGAAGAGACAGAATTGCCAAGCTCCCGACCATCTTCAAGACCAGTTTTGGATGATGACTACAACTCTGGATCTAGTGTGCCTGACAAGGAACCAACGAAGAAACCATTGAAAAGAAAACGTAATAACATATGTTATTTTCCATGTTATGTAGCTTCGTTTGGAAAATGACTGTTCCTAACGTTTAGATTTATACCCTTAATAACAGATTAAAGTTGGGAAGAATCGAAAAAGTCGAGACTGGCACTATTTTGCAAGACATCGTCGTATTTTATGACTGAGGGTGCCTTATATATATCACTTTACTTATGGATTTCAATATATTATATTGACTTTCGCACTAATCTAGTTTTAATAAAAAAAAACCCTTTTGTTTAAACGTTTTCTAAGGTTTTTAATTTCTAAAATATTGATTTTGAAACTAATTATTAGAAGAAAAAAAATAGAAGAAAAAAATGTTTTATGTAGAACACACTTAGTATTAAAATACAAAGAAATAGTGCAAAATTGAGACAGTTTGACTGTTGAGGGTGTACCAAACCTGTTCATTGACAGTTTTTTTTATAGGTATGAATTGACAAATGAATTCCTGTTACCAGAATTGTTTATTACAACTGAATGAACCATGATTATGGGAATGATGCTTAAATAATAATATACACTTTACTCCTAACCAATTTTATTATTTTTTCACAGCTACTAGATTAGTGTCCTATGCTAAGGATGATCTTGAATCTGATGAGGAAGAAAAATCTGATGAAGAAGAAGAGGAACAAAATGATCTCACACCAGATGTAAGAACTATATCAACTTATCCTGTCCATTAAAACTAATTATATATAAGGATATTGATTGTAAATTGCTTGTCAACTAGGAGTGCATTTTTTCACATTGCAGTTAGACATATATCTCAAGTATCACTGAGTTCTATTTGCGTATATGATTATAAGAGTGTAATGATTTAAATGATAGTTTCATATATAACATCACTGTTTCTTTTTAATTGTAGGAGCATGTTCTGAATTCTTCTTTAAACCCAGAACAAGCATGTAAGTAAAGATCCTTTTATAGTGATCAATTTGTAATTTATTTTCATGAGTCCTTTCCCACTTTATTGCTAAAAATAATGGGTCCCACAATGTAAAAAACCAAAGTATTTAAAAAAATTCTATGAGTCCCATCAAATTATATGATTGCAGGACTCACACATACATTTATTGCTGCATTTGATTTTTCCATTGATAAAAATGAGTTTTGATATGAAGACAATTTGAAGTTGGAGTTAGTTTACTGTCATATTCATCTATGGGTGCCTCAGACACTTCAGCATACATGGCTGTACATATATATTCAGACTGCTTTGTTGATCTGTACATGTAACATATTGTATAAAAATCTGTTCATACTTATACATTGTACATGTGCCTAAAGGGTTGAAATATTTGCTATGATCACAAAAGTAAGAAGCTAAATAGGTGGTGTCCAAGAAAAATAATGATAGTGTTTGTGGTGTTCAAAATTTGAAAGTTCTGCTGAAGGTGGATAGAATGTTCAACACATAGCCTTAGCATAGTTTTTATTTCACAGTATTAGCAGTTGTTATTTGTCAGGTAATTCAGAAATCCAAAAATTTTGTGATTATCATGACAACCATATTAAAAAAATATTCCAAACTAAAGTTAAAATAAATGACAGACAGACAACCTTTTTTGATTTGCTTATGAATTAAGCCAATTTCTTGCATTCTTTGCATTTGTGTTCACAGTGGGTAGGGTTAATCATCTTATAATCTATAAAAAGGATTTATTAATGTGCAGCATTCAGGTTATTGTTTCATAGTTTACATCTTGGTATTGACTGTAAAGTAACTAGCATTGAATTTTGTATCAGAAAATGACATAGGAACACCATCAAATGTATATTTGATTCATTGAGGTAATTTTTTACTGGGATAACCAGGATGGTTGACACTAATGTACAAAGGTGATGTTCGCAAGTAAGCCTCCTCCCTACTTTTGGCCAATATTTTTTTCATTTGGGAAGGGGTTAAACTGTGGTAACATACTGATAAGTTTTGATAAGTGTTATAATCATATGAACATTCTTAATTTGTAGCTCTGTTGTCAAGAAGTGTGTTAAACAAAACAGCAGATGAGATAGAAATACCCCCAGAACCTGCAGGAAAATGCCCTCGTCATTTGCAGGTACACCATTTCAAATACTTGATTGGTAAAGGAAAAAGAAAAGATGCAAAATGGATAATTAGTAGTGTAATAAGAGTGATTTTGAGCAGGGTTTAATAAGTTATTTTTGGAATGTGCCCCTCTTTTATAAATTTGGAAAGTCTTTACTATCAGCAAGTACAGTCAAACCTGCCAATGGCATGTCATTCTGAAGCAATAAAAGTAGTGTATATGAAATATGGAGCACAAAGAAAATGGAAAAAAATGACTAATGAAAATACAGTAAATTATCATTTGATAACTTACAAGTTGTCACTAGCCATACTGGTTATATCTTTACCAGTCAAGTCAAACAAACTTATTCTGTTTTAAGTATTTGAATAACTTCAAACTTCTTATGTTAATTGTCAAAGGCAATGTCTGTCTACCGACATGCCACATTAGATTATGATAATGCTCATCACTTCAAAATCAAACAGAAACCAGTCAGAAAATGCAGCTGTCATAATAAGGTTTTGTTTTCTGTATCATAATTATATACATGCAATAAGGTGTCATGCAGAATATGTTTTCGACAATAAAGGATTTAGCCTAACTTTGAAAATAAATTATCTACATGAAAATATTGCACTGAAACCATCTACGAATATATTTGATCATGTCCAAGCCATGGTTTTTGTTATTGTTGAGCATTTGAGGAAAGCCTCTGATTTCTAACACCTACAGGACATGCATTATATGTTATTGCCATAAGCAATACACCTAATCAGAGTCTTGTTACACCACAGGTAATCAGTGTTTGATATGAATTGTTTTGTTTAAGATTTCTAGTGAGGTCAACTTATTAATTTTCACAAATTGTATTTTGATTTGGCTGTTGTCTGACAGTGGAGTTAATTTTTATTTTTTTTCCACAGAAAACAGTCATTTTATAGATCAGTTTTGAGATCTAAATGTATAGTTGATGGTCACGTTGAACAGCTGGTCATTATATATGGTGTCATTACATAATAAATCGCTAGGACCATTACAAAGCAGTCAAAATAGACAGGGGATTGTTATACACAAATCGTCTTTAGAACAAGTTTTTTAACAAGTATTTTATAGTGCTTTATAATTTATATTTTAGACGATTCTAACACTTGTAATATTCTGTAATATGAAATTGTTTAAAACAGTTAAAAAAAATTGAAATATAGATTTAAAAAACCCTATGAGACTGAACAATTTTCAATACCTGTATAAGCAAAATGGTCATATGTCCTGGTATATTTGTTACTCTTTTATCACAGGAAAAGATTGCTAAACTGTATGAGAAAATGCGAAGAGATGGACTCAATATGGTGGCATCAATAGAAAGAAGAAAGGATTTCCGAAATCCTAGGTATTTTAGAATTATGGTTCATTATGACTTTTCCTTTTTCTGTGACTTTAAATGATAGTTTTCATTGAATAAGATATTCTGGTAAAGCGGAAATATGAAATTTTGTAAAGTAGGTTTGATGAACTGTATGTGTAAATATGAGTACTCAAACACTGACAATATTAATTATGGTTTCTTTCAGTATATGTGAGAAACTGATAGAATACTGTGGCATAGATGAGAAAGGCACCAACTATCCTCCGGTAGGTTTTGTTATGAAGGTATATATGAGGAGAAAACCTGCTATCCTCTGGTAGTTTTCTAAGAAGGCAAGAATAAGAAAGAAACCAGATATCCTGTTGGTTTCCTATGTAGGCATAGATGAGAGAAGGACATCAGCTATTTTAAAGATTTTCTATGTAGATTTTTATTTTAAGGACACCAACTATCTTCCTGTAGGTTTTCTCTGTAGGTATAGATGAGGAGTTCACAAGTTTTTCTTAAGGTTTTCCTTTTACCAGGTAGACATAGATGAGAATGGCAACAACTATCTTTCTGTAGGTTTTCTATATAGGCATAGATGAGAAGGCCACCAACTCTCATTATGTAGGTTTTTCATATAGGTAGAAATGAGAAGGGCAACGACTCTCTTTCTGTAGGTTTTCTATATAGGCTAGATGGGAAGGGCACTAACTCTCCTCCAGTAGGTTTTGTAATTAGGGGTAGATGAGAAGGGTAACAACGATCTTTTGGTAGATTTTCTATGTGCATCAATAGAAGAAGCAGAAAAGGAAATTGTAAATACCCTGATCTTTTACACTTGCTGAATGAAGTAATATATTTACTAAGTAAGGAGAACATTTCCATAGATGGTTTGTAGAATAATTTATTAGTGTAGACAAACAGAGGTAAAATGTGTCAATTTTTAGTCTCTATGGAAAATGTACTGTCTGATATTTTAAAACTGTCGTTTTATCAAACAATATAGATCTTAATGATTTAGTAACTGTAGCAACATTTGTATATGTCAGGTTCTTTATGTACATACCAGTACACAGTATCTATAAGTAATAACCATATGCATTCGTATAAAAGAACTCTCAGTTTAACTAGACTTGTACATTTTCTGATTCTGATTTTTTTTTTCACTTTACAGGAAATTTTTGATCCACACAGATGGGGTAAAGAGTCATTTTATGATGCCCTAGGTAAGATACAAGTAATTTTATATAAAAAATTGCATTTAGTGTTAGTTTCATAATTGATTATTGAAGACAAGTACTCATTATATTGCCATTTGTAATTGGTGTCATGTGTTAAATGCTAAACAGATTGGGATGTTAGTTTTATGCTTTGAAAATATTGTATTTTTTTATGCTAAGAGCATTTTCAATGCTCTTCAGCATGTTGCTGTCGCCCCCGGCCCTGAGTATCAGTACTTCATTTTCATTGGTTCATAAATCGAAAGTTTACTCCTACTCCATCTGCCGGACATTACCGTAATCATTGGATTATCGCCCCTACAAGTTGCTGATCCTAGTCATTAAATGAAACAACCTTATCGACATTTTCTTCGTTACTTGTACATCAAGAAAACGTTTTGTGTTGTGTATTAATGATAATCAGACATCGAAATTTGTAAATACAGTGACGAAGACTCACGTTTTATGGTGGTAAATTTTGCGAGGCGATGCCAATATGGCGGCTTAACTTTCTTTTCCGCGCGATGCATTGTGAGTGTCATATATATCTTTCTTTTTTTTTTCTTTTTTGAAAATTTTCATCCCGTTTAATACTGTTGAAAGCTTTTGAAAATACTGAAATATGTAGTCGAAAATAAGAATGAAACTAAAATAAGAATGATTTAGAGTAGCATAAAATTTTGACGGAAACAGCCGGGGTGCTCTTTGCTGCTGGACCCTGAAAGAAGACGGCGGCAGAAAGAAGATGGCGGGTATTTGATGTAGGTAAGTATCACTCTATATATATATAAGCTGAATTTAAAGTCAATACTTATACTGAACTAGCAATTGCATATTTTGCAAAATACTCATTTGAAATGAGCTATCGCATGTATTGGATTTAGGCTCGACGGCGACGCGCAAGCTGGGCACTGCCGCCATGGCACTTTTTTCAAAATATTTTCAAGACTTTTCCTTTGAAGCAGTATGCATTTGAAAAATGTTATGTAAGCATCTAGCACATTTTTGTTGCTTCCGTAAAGTATTTCAGTGTTTTGAAATAAATTTATTTTTGAATGATCGTGAGTGGCCCAACAGATCGGAAATTAAACAGAAAAAAACCTATCTGTAATATTGTACTGTACTACTTACGTTACCGTGAATAGATCTAGGAATCTATCTGTGTAATCACGGACTTATATACAAGTCCGTGGTGTAATATATCGATTTTACTTTAAAATATCGGTCACTGTCCGTGCTATTGTAGATCTAGCTCTTTCAAATTTCTGATCGGAGATAATTTATAAGTACCCCAAGTCCAGGGTATGAAATCGTAAGGGAACTCTACAGCTATGCCAATTGAAGTTTATATATATAGTTTTAGCTTAAATTTAGTTTTTGTCTTTCTGACATGATGTCTCGTTGATTCTGTTGAAGAGTGATGCAGGTGAACGATTACAATATGAAGATTGGGAATAATGAAGATATCAATTAACATCTGAATCCCGGAAAGTGTTTTAATGAAGATTAGGATAAACCTAGCAAAGTGTTAGGTCCCATTGGTACAATTCTTATTATGCCTGAACTTTTAATATATGTACTGTATTTGTTCATCTCAGAAGTTTCGGTATTATGTCAACTGCGTCAACTTTCAGTTCAACACTTGATTCATCAAATTTACACAGCCCTGGGCTCAATATTTGTCATTAATTGTCGACTGTTTATAAGCATTTTAGAGTTTTGTTTCCATGGTGAGTGGAATGAAATGGGATAAATAGTCTAACCAATACCCCTCGAGAGCTTATTAAGACATTGCAGTATTATCACATTGGGCCTTATTAAAAGTCAAATTGAAACTTTAAGAAACTCAAGTGACCGGAAGTACAACAATAAGATGCTTTGTAGTGGTTTGTTCAGAACTGTAGTTCTGGTTAAGTAACCATTAATTATGTCCTTTCAGCTACAATTACGTACATTTTTGAAATACCTCTACTGTAGCTAAATGTGGCATTTGTGATAGACATAGCCAAAGTTAATTTTGTGATAGATGTAGCCAAAGTTAATTTTAAGATCAGTTAGGACAGCCACTGTTTGTAACAGGCATGGGTTCAATTACATGATGATGTAATTAATTAAATTACAATTACATTATGAAAATGGCATTGTCATTACAGGTATTTTCAAAATAATTAAATAACCATTACATGATGGTCCAATGTAATTAATTAAATTACACATTACTTTTCAAGTCAAAATGATTTTTTTTTAAATACAAACGTCAAAATAAATTATCATACTGCACAGATTTATCACACAAATTAAATTTTATGATTCAATCTCTGTATGACCATGGTCAAGATATTATCATTTTGCCAGCTGTCCATCGCTTAATAATTTTACAGTCCTGAACGTCAAAGTAATTAATTACAGTATATTTAATATAGGCTCCTAATGGGAAGACTATAAGCTTATACAGAAGTGTATATTTCTTGCACATAATCATAGCAATAATGAAATATAGTTATTTATTTCCCTTACTCTCTTTCAGCAAGTGGATGTCCCTGAAGAAATGAAATCTGGAATGGTAGAAGGTATCTCTATTGATTCTTCTAAGTTGGAATTGGCCATGGTGACCAACAATGGATGTGAGGACCTTATGGTGGAGAAAAACGTCCTTCTTTTCGGCCTCCAATTAGATGTTGAATATGATTAATCACTTGAGGAGATGCTAACAACCATGTTGCCTTTTAAGGTCACAGTACTCTCTAAAGGCAGCAATATATTTACCATCAGAAAAGAAGAATCAACAAATCGCAGAAACTAAAATAATTTGGAAAAGATCTTTGTATACTGCATTTGTAGTAAATTTGTATACAATCTTCAATTTACTTGTGTTTACCATCAGAAAAGAAGAATCAACAAATCGCAGAAACTAAAATAATGTGGAAAAGATCTTTGTATACTGCATTTGTAGTAAATTTGTATACAATCTTCAATTTACTTGTGTAGAAAGATTCACTAGTTATACCAAGTTTGTGTAGAAAGGATCACTGTATACTGAGTTTGTAGTGTACATAGAAAGGTTTACTTATTTATTTTTTTTTCTGAGTTTAGTGTATATAATATATCAAAAAAACTTTTTGTAGAAAAGATCACTGCATACCTGAGTTTGTTGTTTACAAATGTGTAGAAAAGATCGCTGCATACCGAGTTTATAGTTTACAATTGTCTAGAAAAATCACTGTATACTGAACATAATACGACTTCTGTTTAAAACCTTCATTTAAACTTAGGCATGTATTTTTTATGTATCTTAAAAGTCTACCTACAACAATTTTGTGTATGCAATCTTGTACTAGGATATTGACATGACAAGATTACATTGCTGATCAAAGCATGGAAAGAATACTGTATCTAAAAACTGAATAAAACAAGATATAAGCATCTGTATCATGTTTTTATTATTATTATTATTATTTTTCCATAATGTCTGTCCACATGGAATTTGTAAGCACTCTTGTGCATTCTTATACCACCAAAAGGGTGGGTAAACTGGAATCAGGTTGTCTATCAGTCCATCCATCTGTTTGTCTGTCTGAAGACACATCTTGTCTGGACAACTCCAATGAAACTTTTCAGTAATATTCAGGACAATGTGTAGATGTGCATGCACCATTTTCCCTCAAAATATTGATTGCCATGGCAACTGGTCAATATAGACGGGTTTTGCTCGTCGGTCAACTTCTAAACCTGTGGACCAATTTCAACAAAACTTTGCAGGAATGTTGGGGAACGTGCACATGCCGCTGTGTTTCAGAGGATGTTTCTGTGCAAAAGGTCACCATGGAGAGATAACTAAGGCTGTGGGTGTTGGGGGTATTAGTTATCATTTGGATTACAGTTTCAGTTATCCCTGGGCAATGTGGAGAGGATATAGTAATGATTTTGAGGATTGAATGTAGAGGTCACAGTACTTGCATAAGTACTATATGATTACCTTGTAAACGCATTGAGACTAAGACAGTATACCTTAATCAAATTTGGAACATGTATCCCTTATGAGAAGTCGGTTTCTTTAGAAATTCAGGGTCAGATGTCAAAGATCAAGGTCACAGTCAAAAAACGGATAGATGCATGGGGGTGTTCTTTGCATTACCCTCATTTTTCTATCAAATTTCACAACCTAAAAGATATTCACATCTTGCAAATTTCAAGGTTCAAGGTCACTGTTAGGATGTTAAAAAATGATAATACAAGAGGAATAAAATATCATGCGACAAGTTTTAGAGAACAAAGAATATATAAACATGTCAACAGAATTGTAGAACCAGCAAAACAAGTGTAAAATTGAAACAAAGACAATATCTACTCGAAGATTCCCTGAAAAAGTACAAGGAGAATAAGACCAGGTGTTCCGAAAGAATAGGCATCTTTTATTTTAAGTTATGGTGACATACCATGTTTGTTTTAGAAAATTGGCACTCTTATGCAGTCATTTACAGACAATCTGGAAAATGAAGCTGCCCAATATTTGTATGTAGCATGTTATTTGCATGATGGTCTAACTAATGGTCTTAAACCAATGAGATACGCAGTCTTTAAAGTGATAATATGGTGTCCAAGATCAACATTTCCTATAATGTATCCAAAGAAATGGACAACTTCCCTATCATTGCATCTTGGAACCTACTTGGGACATGTATTACATAAGTAATACTACTATGCTTGTTATTTCTGATATCTGCTGGTCATTTTTTATGGGCTGCAATGATTTACTGCTTGCATATAGTTGGTTTCAGTATATAGCAAGCTAATAACTAAGAATTTATTTTTTTAATGGTCTTAGCATACCAGTACTTTCATAAAGCTCAGACAATTGAAGTAAATAAAAGAGAAAGGGAAAAGAAGGACAGAACAAAGGTATACTGACAAGGTTTTCTATAACAGATACACATATCTACTATGCTTCCTTTCTTTGAAGTACTCTTCTTCATAGCTATATATAATTTACATATATATAAATATGA